AAAAAAAAAAAAAAAAAAAAAAAAATATATATATATATATATATATATATATATATATATATATATATATATATATATAAAACAAGAGGGGGTTGGCTGCACTCACATGAACATGCATAAATGGGGGTGCTGCTGGGGGCCAAATAATACAATACACAAGATCCAGTGCACTCACCTATCCACTAAACAGCAACTTCAATGTTGAAAGATTTTATTTGTTTTTTTTTGTTTGTTTTTTTAAACACCTAATCTAAGCAAAAATAATGGGGGTTTAGTTACATTATATGATCATACATTGCATAAGCCTGCCACAACGTCAATGTACCCCATCTTTGGCAGGCCCTACACTAATGCCTAATGTCTGCTCTTATGAGATTAACCCACTTACTTGGGGGAAAAAAATTCCATCTGGGGCTTTTTGCAGTACAAGGCTAATTATATATATATATATATATATATATAACACATAATAGGTAATAAATATAGTCAACCATTGCAGGCGCATTCTGTATTGAGGTTATTCCAAAATTGCGGTCCCCTGTAGGAAAATGAGGATCGAATCACTTTATTTTTTTATTGCGGTATGCTAAATATCATGCTGGTACTGGATCAGAGGTTATAGGAGGTGGGAACAGCTGGGGAGAACATTCTACTCAGATGGTCTGGAAGCTTCCCAGAAAAGCTCTTATGCACAAGGCTGGAAATGCGAATATTGCATCTGGATTCCAGCTATAGCCAGTTTAGCTCTTTTAATATGTCACAATGGTGGGACAAGAAATTACATTCTAGTACAAAGCAGCAGAGCAAATTATAGAAGGTATTAAGTTTATGAATGTGGGTTTGTGTTGCAGGTGCATACACTACATCCCCATAATCAATGCATTAGCATTTGTTGCACTATCTGTTTCCTTACTGTAGGATTTAGGCAGGATTTGTTTCTGTACAGGGCACCTAGTTCTGGATAGAGTTTTTGAAGAGATTTTTTCAATGTGAAGGTCAAAGGGGTCTAGACACATACCTAGACATTTGAAAAAAATGACTGTAGTCAGTGTGCTATTTAAAATTGTTCTAAAACATAGTTGTTGGTTTTTGTAGTTTACGTAATTAAGGTACAGTTTCAAACATCATAGTAACAGTTTTGTCAGTGTTTAGGAAGAGTTTATTAATCACTATCCACTTTTCTACCTCTGTGAATTGGTTTTGGAGCACAGCCTCAAGCTACGGTAGCTTGGGTTTACTAGCGTAGATTACAGTGTCATCTGCTTACATGTGTACAGTTGAGGATTTGCAGACATTAGGCAGATCATTTATAAATAATGTGAATTGTAGGGGGCCGAGTATGGAGCCTTGGGGAACACCACACGTTACTGGAAGAGGGAGGTGCTGATAGAAAAGGTCACAAATTGCAATTGGTCTGATACATATGATCAAAACCAGGTTGACGGACGATCATCAATACTTGAGTTTTAAAGTTTTTACAAAAGAATGCCATGGTCTACTGTGTCAAACACCTTGGCAATATCAAGGAAAATAGCTCCAGTTAAGTCTTCTTGTTCATTTAAGAGGGCAGTCGAAGTTGAGTGATTTGGACGAAAGCCTGATTGATCAGGGGTCAGATAAATTGAATGTTGATAATATTCACATAGTTGTGTATGGACGCATTTTTCCAAGGTTTTTGACAATACAGGAAACAATGATATCGGGCGATAGTAAGATACCAAAGTATTGTCACCACTTTTTATGGATAGGTACAACTTTTGCAGTCTTCAAAAGTTTGGGTATGTATCCAGACACAGGGATTCATTGATTAGGATAGTGACAGGTTTAGCAATTGCTGGCGCACTGAGCTTCAGCAAGATTGCGGGGATTTGATCTGGTCCACACAGGTTTTTAATTATTAAGATGTTTATTAACAACACTAACAGAGACAGGTCTAAAACTGAATTTCTCTATTTAAGGATTTTGCAGATTTAGCAGGGCCTGATCTGCATTTGTGGTCTGAAAACGAGTGTAATTTGTTAATTTAGCAAACATGGTGGTAGTACATCCAACAAAATAATTACTAAAGCATTTGCTACATCTAAATGCATTTCATTGGAAAGTCAAATAATAAGAGATCAACTGAAAGCTCCAAGAGGTAAAACAACTCACATTAACTAGGTGTGACTGCAGATTTCCAGGAACTGGAGCTTTACATCAGTCTCTACAATATCCAAATCCAAACCAAAAGAAAAACAGGTATCCACAAACTGTCACCACTGGAGTTCCAGGAATTATTGCTCCAAAATAAAAATAAAAATCATATTTGGAGCAATAAATTCTGGATCTCCTTTTTTTTCTTTTAGTTTGAATTTGCATTTCATTGGATATTCTTATTACTGGCATTTATAAAGCGCCAACATATTCCACTGTGCTGTACAATTGGGAAAAAGACAAACGCAATAAAACAGACAGTTACAACAGGTAGAGGACCCTGCCTGTGAGCTTAAAATCTAAAGGTTAAAATGGGGAGAAGATACAAGAGGTAGCAGAGGAATTTGTATGTGATGGCAGATATAATTAATAGTATAGTTAGAGTATCTCTTACAAAGATTTGTATCGAGAGATAGAGGGAAAGAGACCAGAAAAAGAAAAGCTCTAGAACTGGATAAACATAGGAATTCACCAAAAACCTATTAAAGACAGAATAAATGGGATCTGCTGCACAGGAGGTGTAGCAGTAAAAAATCCAGGAGCTGATAAATATTAAAAGATAATAATGTAGTTGCAGGAAATCAGATAAATATAAAGATTTGTGTATATACACAAACTATATATGTATGGCAGAGTTATCTCATAACCCAGAAAACAGAATTCTGGAAAAAGAGTAATATGTGCCAAATAATATACTTTCACTCACTACCTATGGAGGAAAGTTACAGAAGTTAGAAAATAAATGAATAATTGAATAAACTATCACTTAATACAATGTGATAGAGAAATGTCTATAGTTGGGCAAAAAGCCAGTACATAAAGCTGGCTGCCCTAAGCAATAGATAAAATGTATCGCCAAAGAATAGATTTAAAAAGTAGCAAAAATTTATTGAAACATAAAAATATATTAAAAATAAGTCCACATAGAGAGCAATAGAAGTAAGGAGGGTAAGATATGCACAGTAACCTTAAGCACCGGCACGGATGGATTCAGATTGCGATGTTGATACAGTAGCTGGCATCTGGTGACCGGTGAGGTCGGTCTGCGTTCCACAGTGCGTTCCACCCCGAGCCTCACTTCGGGGGAGCTGCGCTGCTAATCAGATGTTGCGATCAGAACGCCAGTGATCGGGAAAGTTGCCGGGCTGCTGTGCTGACACCTCCTCTCTCTCGTCTTTGTGTGGACAATCTGTAACCTCGAGCTTCGTCTGACGCGTTTCGTAGGGGTAGCCCTACTTCCTCAGAGACCTCTACATTCACTCTCTTATGGAGATGCTTATATACCACTCTCTCTGTCCCCAATTGGTTAATTGAAGGATGGGTACATCGTAATACATTCAATATATCGCTTTGGCTCTGATACATACATTGTACAAATAAAATGAAAAATGTATACATATATAAATAAATATTTTATATAATATATATATATATGAGGAGAATTATATTCATGGCATTAATTCAAAATTGTGTACATAAATAAAACTGATGGAAATATATATTTCTCTAAGATATCAATTTGCAGTTGCTGTTTTCATTTAAAAATGAATGAATTATCATCCTACATAAATCTTGTGTCACATTAGATGGTCTGTATAGGTTGTTATACCCTAAAGATACAGTAGAGCAATACAACAATGTTTACATTTTAGAAATGCATATCATTCAAAAATTGCTATACTGTTTATGGGGTTGCTTCTTTTATGCATTTACTGTTGTCTGTAACGAAATAAAAATCATATTAATCATTAAATCTCATATTAGGTGCTCCTTCAGTGTATATGCACAATAGATGAATCTGGATATATATTCGGATCCAACCTCCGAATATATGGATACATTAAGAGAAATTTTGAATTATGGCAAAGAAAAGGGAATCCTCAATGAAAGAGAATTTAAATATATAGGGGTGAACTTTCCAAGAATTCCGGTATTTTACCACCTACCTAAAATACATAAAAAACTAGAAAATCCACCAGGAAGGCCCATTATTTCTGGTATTGGAACCCTCACAGCAAATTTATCAGAATATGTTGATCAATTTCTA